ACTAGCAGCTGGATCTGGAAGAGCAAGTACCTGAGTTTGAGAGTAATATGCAGAAATGTAGCTTCATTGCAAGCTTACCCTGCAAAATGCGATGTCTCCCAAATGTGGATCATTTTAAGGCTGAATAGGAGGGGGACTGAGTGCATGCGATTCATAAGTTTTGGGACTTTAGATATTACAATTCATGTCAACGGAAACCTCAATCCCATCAGATATTTATGCCTTGATTTCCTATTTAGCAATTGTACTATAGCATCTTTCTTATTTGATAGGGTATTGAAAGAGATCTTCCCATGTCATGGGTTTGCAGAGATTTATACAAACAATGCGTGCTATCCAAGGAGCTCTAATTGTAGCCTCCAGCATACAAATCATTCTGGGTTACAGCCAAGTTTGGGGTCTTTTCTCAAGGTATGGCAATACTAGAAAATGTAAAAAAAAATTAAGCTCCTATTTTGTAATTGATTGATTCAGCACCATACGGGTTATCTTGCAGGTTTTTCAGTCCACTTGGCATGGCACCTGTAGTTGGATTGGTTGGCTTGGGATTGTTTGAACGGGGTTTTCCTGCGGTAAGTTTTTCTATGAGAGGCAATTTATCATTCCATTAGGTTGACCCCGGAGGAGCTTCTATGCCACGTGGTTTGTGTCTCATTTGGTGCAGCATTTCCTTTTCTGGAGAATCATGAAACTTACATCCATTTGTTCTAGAATATCCCACAATTCTGAAATTTTACTAAAAGAAGACCCCATTAAGCACTTCAGCATATTGTAAACCTTTTGCCATAGGATATTTTCACTCTCAATGAATTTTGTATATCCCATAGTTTCCTCCAGAATCTCTCCCCCTTTCATGAACTTTTCTAATATATCGAAATTGTCATGTAATAAGTCCTATATCAACCACAAAATTTAAAACTTGGTGAGAACTGAACCACGTGACGTTTCTAAATAAGCATACTTCGTCTAGCTTGGTTTTTTACTATATGCTACGGAAACCACATATTCCATTTGCTGTATTTATATTCTATTTTTTTTGGAAAATTATGCAAGTATATAATTTCTATGTTTGTTTCAGTTGGGAAATTGTGTGGAAATTGGAATTCCGATGCTGTTGTTGGTCATTGGGTTGTCTCAAGTAAGTGATTTTCTATTAAAATTGCATTGACACGTCTACCAATCGTTTCTTTCCTTAATGAAAGTTTGTCTTTGTTTATTCTCAGTATCTGAAGCATGTGAGACCATTTAGAGATGTCCCAATTTTTGAACGGTTTCCAGTATTGTTTTGTGTCGCTATCATTTGGATCTATTCCCTTATCTTAACTGCCGGTGGGGCTTACCGTGACAAGCCTGTTAGAACCCAAATCAGCTGCCGCACAGACAGGGAAAATCTCATATCTACTGCCCCATGGTATGTCAAAGAAGAATTTGCCTTTTCATCATGTCTGCTGAACTCTTTTTGGTTTTAAGATCTTTATTCCGCCGTTTTAGGTTCAAGTTCCCGTATCCTCTGCAGTGGGGTCCTCCTACATTTTCAGCAGGTCACTCATTTGCAATGATGTCTGCAGTTCTTGTTTCAATGGTTGAGGTATTTATTCAATTTTTGAAATGTGGTTTTCATTCATGATACGCAACGCTGTATTGCTTCACTTATCAACAGCAGCCTCCTTAGTGTGCCATCTTGGTTATGTGGCTTAAGATTTGGGAATATGTCGGTTTCGTGACAATTGCTTATATGTTGCAGTCAACTGCTGCATACAAGGCAGCATCAAGATTGGCAATTGCCACTCCTCCTCCTGCTTATGTATTGAGCCGGGGAATTGGCTGGCAGGTGAATGAATTTTGAAACACCTGCGATTTTGTTATCTATCATGGATTGAGTTAGGTAAATGTTTCATGCATCATGCAAGCATCTTGGAGATAACTTTTATCAGAAATTTTAATATATTTTTCAGGGCATCGGTATTTTGCTTGATGGACTTTTTGGTACAGGCACTGGTTCTACTGTTTCTGTGTAAGACACCACAATATATTGCTGCAAAGTTTAGTTTGTTGCCTTCTCTGCCATTTAAAATTAGGTTGACTAAGATCAGGTTTATTTTTACCAGGGAAAATGTCGGACTTCTTGGACTAACCCGAGTCGGAAGCCGTAGAGTTGTTCAAATTTCTGCTGGATTCATGATATTCTTCTCAACCTTAGGTCAGTATTTAACTCTCTGACATTCAAAGAGGTTTAGAGCACCGTGGAGATGCAGATTTGATTTCCTCTCTAATCCGTTTGTAGGTAAATTTGGGGCTGTATTTGCATCGATACCCTTCCCGATATATGCAGCTTTATACTGTGTCGTCTTCGGCCTCGTGGGTATGTCATGAGCTTAAGCAAGCTTCCTAATCGTTTCCTTCTTTCACTCTCTTCACAAACATTACTTGCCTGTTTGCAGCTTCGGTAGGGTTATCATTTCTTCAATTCACAAACATGAATTCTATGAGAAACCTCATCATCACCGGGCTCTCTCTCTTCCTTGGGATATCTGTCCCCCGCTTTTTCAACGAATATTGGAACCCCTCGCACCATGGTCTCGTCCATACCAATGCTGGATGGGTGAGTAACATCCTAACAAACTCTAGCATTCTGGTTAAGTTCTAAAGACATAATGGCATATCTTGTCAATGAAGTAATACATATCGATCCCGTTAAATGCAAAATGTGATGCCATTTCGTGTGTGTTTGCAGTTCAATGCATTCCTGAACACCATATTCTCATCTCCTCCAACCGTGGGGCTAATCGTGGCGGTGTTTCTTGACAACACTTTAGAGGTGGAAAAATCGAAGAAGGACAGAGGGATGCCGTGGTGGGTCAAGTTCAGAACATTCAGAGGAGACAACAGAAATGAAGAGTTCTACACATTGCCGTTTAACCTCAACAGATTCTTCCCGCCTACGTAGCAGACGGCCGGCACGATCAAGGGAAGTTGAGTGAGATCAAGAGCTCCAGCCAAGCTTATCTAATTGCAAATTAACAATGATTAATCAGGTTGATTAGAGTAGTAATATATGATCCGAGGATAATTAATTTTAGCAAATGGGAATTTTATTTTTTGTTCAGCTTGTCAATTTTTGGGGAACTTTGTGTCATAGGGTTCAGTTAAAGGTAGGAGAGATTGTAGGGCAATTGTTTGGTCCATATGCTGCTTTTTGTAGACTCAAATAATAAAGGAATATATTCTCCTTCTCTTAACCAACAGCTTTGAAAAACGTTAAATTACATCGAAACCAAGTATCATCACGCGCCTTGTGTTCCCGGTACATAAATTTTTTTGTTTAAATAAGTTATATAAGTACGTTTTGGTAGTGAGTTTCGACGATAAAAAGCGCTTTTGACAATTTTGCACATAACATGAAAGTTTTTTCACTCTATGAAAAAGCTCATACCAAGTGATCTTTCAACAAGGGCTTAGGGTTTAAGGACTTCCAAATCCTGAACACTACTAGCTAAAGGTTCGTTTAGATGTGTTTTTAAAAAGACTAAAAGCGATTTCGTTAAAAATGTTTTAGGGTTCTAAATGAACTTGAAGTGCAATTTAAAATAAGCACTAATTATGTGCTTATTTCTTGCATGAAATTTTTCTAAATTCACTTAAATATATACCTACGAAATCCAATATTTTAAATTTAAATAATAAAAAAACCCTATTTAATTAAAAATACTTTTGAAGCCTCAGAAAGCCAGTTATTTGACATCAATAAAAATCAGTCGGTAATTCCAACTAAAACAAAATCCTCATAGGCTCGTCCTTTAACAAAAGAATTTGTTTTATCAAAATTAAATAAAACTTCAAGAAACTTAAAAATGTAATCGCAGTAAATCGGCTCCACGGACCAGTAAAAAATTGGGATCCACAGGTTCCTATCAGAATGCGAAACAGAAGATCCTCGCTCTCCGTTCAATCATAGCACAATATTGGTCATGGCTATTTAGCTACCGTCGTCACGGCATCGAACCTTTACAAAAATCTGATAAATAAATAATTAAAAATTTTAAACAAAATAATAATTGCGGTGATCGGAAAAATTCAAGACCCCCAGATCCCGTTCCAAATCACGCACGGCGGCGGCAAACCGGAGCCGCAGGCCAGTTTCCCGGCCAATGAACTAATCATCGGGGGATGGGAACGAGGCGGCCTCCGTTAGCGTCTGGGCGCCGCTGTATAAAGTGTCATACGGCACTTCCTACCACTTTGAGCATTCTTCCTCATTGAAAACAATCGGAAAGATAGTAAAAGATCCTACCCTAGAAATAGATTGAGACACGAATTGGGAAGAGAGGAGAGACTGCGGGAATACAGACAATGACCAAAGCGACATGCAAATTCGGAGGACGAGAGGGGTTTATATAGGGAAGGTCTATGTTTGTAGAACCCTAATTGCCGCATGGCCTTTGTTTTGGCGGGTTGGGCTCTAATTTGGCCCAATTTTTCATTTTTTGTCTTTAATTAAAAGTAGATTTTTTTAATTCAATTATAATACTTAGATATATTTAATATAATCGTCATTGTAAAACATTGCCCATATAAAAAAGAAATAACAAAACAAAAATTGCAAGAAGATTTCTCTGCCCGTTTCTAATCACTTGGCTGCCACCTCCGATCGATTGCCTAGAATTCATCGAACACTTATCCTCGATTTTTGTCCGATCGACTGTCACTTCTAGATTTGTATTTAACACTTTAACTTTAAACAGTAAATCACATCATGTTATAAATAAGGATACTTTAACGAAAAGCTCTCGGTACTGTTCACTTTAATGAAAAACCATATTTTTACACTAAAAAGTCAATCCTAATACTATTCACTTTACTTTTTATTTTGTCTTTATCGTTAAAACTCGAAACTTTCAAACTTTTTTTATTAGTTTTTCTTGTAAACAATATAATTTTGAATCCTCCTTTCTATAGTTTAGTAGTTTAGACCTTCTATAAAACTATTGGGCTTTAAAAATTGGGCTGAAGAACTGGTCCTGCAGGTCCACCCGGCCGGCCAGAGGGCGTTCGTTGCAAGCAGGTTTGAAATTTCCCAGCGCATTGCTGTCTCTGAAAGCAAGAACACAGTGGAGGGAGACGACCAAACGAAGCAAATTGTGGTGGTTGCCGGAACGGCGTTGTTTGGGTGGCGCGGCAATGTCGATGGGGACTGACAGCACTTGGGTTGGGAAGAAACCGCTGCGGCGCATCGGCGGCATGTCCGACGCCCTCTCCATCGCTTCGGATCTCGGCTTCTCCGTTGCCGCTCCTCATACTCAGGTAAACCCTCGCTCTCCTTTCTGCACATTTCTATGTCCTCCATGTCCAATTTCACTGTTTGGCTAGTTTGGACTTCGAATTAGCTCCAACCTATTGTGCTTTTACTCCCCATGTTTTAGCTTTTCCTACATTTTCCAGATTTCTGAGCTTAGTTTTGAAAACCCAGTTGGAATTAAATAGTTAGATGTTAGTGGAAGAAGAAAGCTGATTACTTGGTTAAGTTTGTGATGTGGCAGCTTCCTAATTTGAATTTCAGAAAAGTTTGAATTATACTTTTCTGATGTAGGAAGAGCTTCAGAACTTGTCCAGTGGTACTGGTGAAAAGGGTGATGACTTGATAAAGGTTCTAAGGGACCTTACCTCTGTACAGAGAAAAATAACCGATCTGCAAGTTGAACTCCAAGGGAGAAAGGTGAGCTGCTGGAGTCTCTTCTTTCGTGTTTCGAGTTTGCGAGGTTATCTTATCTGTTGAACTGGCTTGAGATTATATTGTCTGTAGGATGATAAAAACGTAGCACATTTGACACATGCGAGTGAAATGGAGAAGAAGTGCGAAACTTTAGCAAGGATCACTACCATTTTGAAGATGTAATTCAAAATAAGGTAAATCGTTGTGGTACATTGTTGTGTGTTGTTTTGTTATTGTAGTACATCTGATTTATTATTCGATTTGTTTATCTTTGTCAAATTCTGGATTGATTTAATATCTGTAACATCAAATGGACCATAGCATCTCTTTTTAAGCAATTGCTGCCTTTCCTATCAAGAATACGCTTTTGTATATATGTCCAGGCTAGTAGTGTTATAAACTGATGCTTTGGTTATCATGTTCTTTGAAAATTGAATTCTGGTGGCATAGAAGAAAAAATTTACAGTTTTATCATTCGTTGAGTTCCTTTTTATGCCACCTAGATTTTTGTAATGTAGGGCATAATAAATAGTTGACGTAGTTCGTATGCATGTTTAACTCTTAATAACACCCCCCTTTAAATTGTTTCTCAATAATACCTCTGTATTTATTTTGTTTCAAATCACTGGCAGGATCGCATCATAGCCCGTCTTCAACAACCATATTCACTCGATTGCATTCCAGTAGAAGCAGAGTATCAGGTTGGTTATGGTTTGAATTCATGTAGGTTGTCTTGTATTTTACATTCTAGGCTACGATTATATCGGCCTTTTTTTTTTACCAGTCTAAGTGTTTGTTACTAAATCCGTCTTATTTGGAAGGAGTTTAGATTCATCAAAACAACTGTTAGAAACTTGGGACAAACTTAATCATATGTCAAATTGTAAATTTTACAATAGAAAAGTATGAACCATTTGTTTTTAGCTGTTGTGGAAATATAAATCTGGCACGGACTGCTACAGGACTATTTGTATTTCATGTGAAAAGACTGTTTTCTTTATGTTTGTGGAATCTTTCGCTCGGGCCTGTGCAGAAACAGTTCTCTGAATTATTGATGAAGGCTGCTGGTGATTATGGGGCCTTGACAGCATCAGTTGCAGATTTCCAGTGGAGTCAGACATTTAAGGAGCCTCCTTCTGTTTGGGGGGTATGATTGCAGAAGCTTTTCGTTTCTAAATTACTGAGAATGCATGTGGCATAGTAGTTCTTTTTCCACGTTATTTGCTTCAATTTTGAGAACATTCCTGATGTTGCTTTGTTTATAAGTTATAAGACATTTGGTTGTGGGCAAGCACAGAGTATGATACTGTTACAATTTGCTGATAATAGCAGTAAAGGAATTATTTGCTAATTAAAGACGCGGAGTCAAACATCAAAGATCTTTTAAGGATTTATATCGGATCTACCATGTACTGCGATCAGGATGTGTGAATCCAGAATGCAGATATATAGAACTTTTACGTTGGGAAATTACTTGTGCATGATGTGATCTTCATTTTGTATAACTGACGCAGGAAATGCTTCGTCCAATTCCTGTGGCCTTAGCATCATGCACCCGGTTCTTTGAAGCAATGTCTGCCATGAGGGAATCATTTTCAACACTTCAGCATCTCAGAGTTGGTCATACTGATGCGTCATCACCTATAACACCAGGCAAGGATTCTTCCCGAAGAATACCAGGTGATTCCGAATGCGTCACTCCACCTCCTTGGAGAAGTGAACCAAGCTTTGATGACTTAGCTATCAGAAGCTCAAGGAAGCCTGAAGTCGAGCATCAAGAATCAGAGGATGAAAACAGTGGGGTGGATGGAGCTAGCCACCGGAGATTGTCATGGCCTCCGTCAGTTAAAAACAACGGTGTTTAGTCAGACTGATATTCGTTGCCTGTGACTCAGTGTATGTGTTTGTGTGAAATAGTCATTGTAATAGGCCTCTGCAAAAAAAAAAAAAAAAAATTGTGTGGAAATGTTTTGAGTTAATCCCGCCAAACTTATGTTCTTTTCGTAGGATTTGATCGGCATTTTTGTATCACGAGCAGATTTCGTTGGGTTTTAACAATTGTCGTTAATGAGATTTGAGCTCGAGAAGTGGAGGTTGAGTGTTGAGTGTCGATAAACCAAATGATCATGTGAGGATCTTGTTATTCTTTGACCTTGTAAAAATGAGATATTCAGAAGTCACCACCAAGTTCTCAGTAGCTCTATACAATTATACTGTCAATTCTCAACGGATCAGCCAGGAACTCCAGGAAGGTTCTCTCAAAGCCCCTTTCACATTTTAGGTATTGACATTGAAGTTGGGAAGTGATTTTCACGTAATACTTTTAGCTTCTCACAAACTCCAAATCAAACACAACAGATAAAATTAAACAGACGTGTGTGAGAAACTAAAAATACTTTAAGAATGTACATAATGTTGACGTCTACAACACTTTTTTCGTAATAACTAATCACGTTATTGGTATGTCTTATCAAATTAAACCTTACATAAACAGGAGTTTAAAAAAAATAAAATTAAACGAGAGCTATTATTAGCACTCGAATGATGTGGTTCTACACTACTACTGTTATATGTGCAATATAGTTCTTCAATAAATAAGAAAAATCTTAGGGCATGTTTGGTACTCTACTTGAATCTAACTTTTTAAACTCATAAACAATTTTCAAGTTTTAGGCCTTAAAAACGTGTTTGATAGGACGATTTTCAAAAACTGAACTCAAGACTAACTCAAAAATATAGTCTATTCTTTAAAAATATAAAAAGTGAGTTTTTACTCTTTTATTTTTCTCTCCCTCCTCCCCTCACTCTAAATCTCTCTCTCTCTTTTCTTCTTTCTCTCTCCTCCAATCCGCTCTCCTCATTCTCTCGGTTCTTTCTCTCACTCCTCTTCCTCTCTATCTTGTCTGATCCTCTCTCTTCTTTCTCTTTCCTTCAATCATCTCTTATTTTCTTTCCTCATCTCTCCTCTTTCTCCTTCTCCTGTGACCCCCTCTTTATCTCTTCGTCTAATTTAAGTCGTAAGATTTAAAAATCTTAAATCGCAAACCAATCAAGTTTTTGAGTCTTAAAGAAAATTATTTTCAAGAAATATTCTTAAGAAATGTTTTGAGAAATGATAAAAAATTTTAAATAAGATACCAAACGGGCTCTTATTTATTTAAAATATTTTCATATGGCATTGGTTGCATCCTGTGCAGTTCGTGCGTGAAAATGAAAGATCAAATGCAAATATTATGTGCCCATCTCAATCTGTTGTAGGCTGTAGCAACAAATGCATATAACTTCGCCGCGTTAAATGTTCTAAATTATGCATGCACCTTTCACATCTCCCACCCTAAAAAGATGTACTGCCTTGTGATACGTAAAAAGCCCAAAACGAGGCGGATTCCATCCGAATTCATTTTGTGAAAACATCTTAATCATTTATCGTGTATCGTGTTGTTATAAATTATTTGACTTTTTAATTTAAAATTAAACACAAATAGTATCGAATGAAAACAAATTGCACGATGTACAATAAACGGTTAGGATACAGGAATTCCTAGAATCCCCACAAAATGTATCGAAGAGGATCCTCTTCCAAAAACGAGGAGCTATAACTTGGTCTGGAGATGGTAATGGTTTGTGTTTGGGTTTATCCATATTGTGTTGTATTCGTGTCGAAACATGAGTTGGTCAACAAGTAAAATGATATGTAAATTAATATCGTGCAAAAATAGCTTACACGTTAATCCATATAAGAGTCTCAAACACACTACGCCAATTATCATACAATCAACTACACCAAAATAACACATTGAAACAATTCCAATACGTTAACGTGCAACAACATAAAATCAAAACTTATGTGACCGATTGAAAATTATCCCAAACTTAAGCGCATCTTCAAAGAAGATGTCAAATTTTAAATATAAAATTTGAATTTGACAGCTTAGGTGGCATTTTAACATCTTTTAAAATTTTGCTCTCTACCGGTATGCCAAATTAAATATTATTTTATTACACTATTTTTTTTTTCTTATTGTTTTATTAAATTATTATTTTATGCCCCTTCTCTCTCTCTCCCCCCTCTTTCTCTCTCACGCAATGACACAGTCATAGACGTCCATCCACTCTTATCAAGTGAACATCTCGATAGAACCCCTCTCTCTCTCTGTACCATGAAGATGATGCGGTTGCTCCTAATCTCAGCGACAGTCTCTGCCATTGTCTCAACTGTGAACTATTCTTGTTCCCCGTAAGACCTAGGAGCACTTCAATCCATCAGAACCAGACTCACCGATTCCTCATTGGGAATCTTCAACTTCTGGGTCGGAACCGATTGCTGTGTAAACTGGTACGGGGTCAGCTGCGATCCCACAACCGGCAAAGTCGTCAACATTAATCTCCGAGGCGAATCGGAGGACCCCATACTCACGAAATCCAGTCAGTCCGAGTTCATGTCAGGATCGATCTCGTCCCAAATTTGCAGCCTCGACCGCCTCACCACCCTCGTTCTCACCGACTAGAAGGGAGTTACCGGCGAGATCGCCCAATGCCTCACCACCCTCTCCAACCTCCGAGTTCTCGATCTCGTCGGAAACAAGATTTCGGGCGAGATTCCGATCGATATTGGCAACCTCACGATGCTCACAGTCCTCAATCTCGCCGATAACCAGATTTGATAAAAAAATTAATAAAAAAAATATTTGGCGTTGTTGTCAAATTTGACAGAAAGGGAGAGCTGTCATTCCATGTCATACCACGTTAGTTTTGGCTTATCGGTTGAAAGATATTACAATTGTCTTTTTTTGCTTATCGGTTGAAAGATATTACAATTGTCTTTTTTTGCTATTAATGCTGATTTGAACATTTTGACATCTCCTTTGAAAATGCTCTAAAAGGTGTGAAATGTAGTGCACCTATTTTTGTACTGATTTCAAGTTATATAACATTTTGACATCTCCTTTGAAGATGCCCTAAGATGCTCTTAAAAATCATTAATGCTAAACGATTGAAGCTGCATTTATTATGCTCAAAGAGTCAAGCTTTTTTTTTAGTTAAAATAAAATTGATTGAACAATTGAAAACTATGAATATTATTATATCAACGGCATCCATGAAAAATAACATTGTTGCCTTCGCAGCTAAGAAACGAACCACCCCAACTTCAACATTCCTATATACAAATATACAATTATTAACCAAGTTTGTCAAATATTACAAAATCAATCAAATTATCAAAACAACCTAGTCTCTTTGTAATGGAAGGATTTTTTCATGTGACTGGAACACGTTGGTCAGATGAATGGAAAGACAAACAAAAGATTATATATTTTTGTAACATGAGACATTTCAAAAAATATTGTATTAACTCACTTATTTCTTGCCGTGTATCCCTCTTTTCTCTTTCATGGCACTATTCGTGTGATCAGAAAACCGATATGTATCTTATTTCGATATATGACAGCTCATCCTTCTAGTGCGTACCAAATGTAGATAAACGGGCCCCGTGTGACAGATCAGCTGCCAGCAAGTAACAAAAAAGATGAATCATCATCCAACTTCCAATAACATGCCTCATGCATGGCCCTTGACAGCTTTCTCTGTTTTTTTTTTCCTTTCAGAAATTGAGGATTTGGAGCGGAATTGGATCCTCTCGAGTCGGAGACAAAGCTTTGGGATCCTCTTGATCTACTAACACGGATCGTTAAACTTTAATTAAATGGTTATAATTATTATAATTATTAGAAAAACATTCCTATTTGTAGTCGTTTGATCAAAATCTAACGATTAGTGTTATTGGATCAGGAAGATCCCAATAATTTTATTCGGAGATGATCCAATTCCATTTGGAGCCACTTGCTTCCCCCATCTTATGAAATTATCCACGTCCCGGCACATGAACGTCACACTGCATCTCTGGCCTTGCCACGAAATCACAGATTGTTCGGTTCAGATGCGGCCAAGGAGTTCGCGGGTCCAGCTGTTAATCATTGTAATTCCTGATCGTGGTGGGGTCATGCACTATGAAAGGATAGTCTACGTTGCAGTGGCCCACAGGCTAGCCAAGAAAGGCCGCATGTCCATGCCAAAAGTCAAAGGTTCAAAACGCTCCACGGTCTAACCAAAGTTACACGGTTTTAAATCTGAACGGTTGCTTTATTTGAATAACTAAGCAACGGTTGAGATTCTTTTTTGAATTTCTCTAATTTATGGGAGAGAGGATACAAATTTGGGATGACCCATTATCTTGTTGTGTTTGATTCTAAAATGGTGGGTGGATTTGAGTTTTTTGGTTTTCTCCTCTAATGCAAAAAATTTATATTCTTATATTTTACATTTTAAAATTTGAATCCTTTTAGTTTTTGACAATTTAAGTATTTGTATCGAAGATGATTGAAGTCAAAACTCGATTCTTATTTTACCTTAATTAAATAACATTTTTCGATGTTGAGCTCGAGAAGTGGAGGTTGAGTGTTGAGTGTCGATAAACCAAATGATCATGTGAAGATCTTGTTATTCTTTGACCTTGTAAAAATAAGACATTCAGAAGTCACCACCAAGTTCTCAGTAGCTGTATACAATTATACAATCAATTCTCAACAGATCAGCCAGGAACTCCAGGAAGGTTCTCTCAAAGCCCCTTTCACATTTTAGGTATTGTAGTTGGGAAGTGATTTTCACGTGATACGTTTAGCTTCTCACAAACTCCAAATCAAACGCAACAGATAAAATCAAATAGACGTGTGTGAGAAACTAAAAATACTTTAAGAATGTACATAGCGTCGACGTCTACAACACTTTTTTCATAATAACTAATCACGTTATGTCTTATCAAATTAAACTTTACATAAACAGGAGTTTAAAAAAAATGAAATTAAATAGGAACTGTTATTAGCACTCGAATAATGTCGTTCTACACTACTACTTTTATTTGTGCAATATATTTCTTCAATAAATAAGAAAAATCCTACTTATTTAAAATATTTTTATATGGCATTGGTTGCATCCTGTGCAGTTCGTGCGTGAAAATGAAAGATCAAATGCAAATATTATGCACCCATCTCAATGTGGGGTAGGCTGTAGCAACAAATGCATATAACTTCGCCGCGTTAAATGTTCCAAATTCTGCATGCACCTTTCACGTCTCCCACCCTAAAAAGATGTACTGCCTTGTGATACGTAACGAGGGAATTCG